GAGTGTGTGTGTGTGTTGTGGGGTGTGTGGTGTGTGTGTGTGTGTGTGTGTGTGTGTGTGTGTGTGTGTGTGTGTGTGTGTGGTGTGTGTGTGTGTGTTGTACTCACCTAGTCGTACCCTCCTAGATGAGTGTGTATAACTTTACATTTTCTGTAGTGAAGCAAAACATGGCTAAAGATAGCTGCAGCAGCTAGAGTGCTGCTTCTGCCTTTCAGACGCACGCTGGAGGGTTCAAGTGAGCACTGTAGCCTCACTGGAAGCCGTCCTTACAGGCACCACGTCTCAGTGTCACACTATACCCCCTCTCTCTTCACAGCCCTCCTCGTCCTCAGCCTTCTTCAACTATGTTTTTTATCTTACATATCTTTGCCCCTCTTAATGCAAAACCTTTCCCCCTCAGTCCTCCACCTCCTCTTCTTCTTCTTCCTCTTTCTCCTTCTCTCTTCCCTCTCCCCTTCCCTGTCCAAGCAGGCTAACCAGGCACCTGTCTCACCCTGGCTCGAGTCACGTCTTCGTAATGAACACTTGAGGCACGAATTATGTTACTTCAGACTCTCATTAAATCTCCGCCGTGTTGGTCCGGTGGGTTCGTCTCAGCCCCCTCCCTCCCTCCGTCCCTAACGCTGACCTCTCGTGGGCGCCAGAAGCCACGAGGCAGCACCGTCTTGGCGAGAGCTTCGAGTCAAGCCTCCAAGCTGGCGGGAATCGTGAGCGCCTCGAGTCAAGCCTCCAAGCTGGCGAGAATCGTGAGCGCCACGAGTCGAGCCTCCAAGCTGGCGGGAATCGTGAGCGCCTCGAGTCAAGCCTCCAAGCTGGCGAGAATCGTGAGCGCCTCGAGTCGAGCCTCCAAGCTGGCGGGAATCGTGAGCGCCTCGAGTCAAGCCTCCAAGCTGGCGGGAATCGTGAGCGCTTCGAGTCAAGCCTCCAAGCTGGCGAGAATCGTGAGCGCTTCGAGTCAAGCCTCCAAGCTGGCGGGAATCCCGACTAAGTGCAAGACGGTGGCTTCCTGCTGGGGTCAGCCCCGGTCTATACGTTAAGCTAGTAAACTCGCTCTGTGTTAAATGGTCGAGGGTAAACTCAAGAAGGCATGAAATGTGTAGGTCTTCGCATTGCGGTAACACAAGCTACCGCATCACGGAGCTCCTCCCTAGTACGGTACACTCTGGGGGGCGAGGTAACGTGCCTGTGCCAGTTTGTGTTTGGTCGAGCAGGTCTCCAACAAGAGGGGGTGTCTTACTGCTCCAAGATCCTACCGTATGGAATCCATTCTGCATGGAGGTTGTGTACTTCTCTGTCATGTGTTGACCAGGCGGATACATGTAACACCACGACATACACAACTCCTCTACTAGGATACAATGTGTACCTAAAACGTCCCCGAAAAAACACGGGCTTCTCTACATGATGTAGTAAAACCCTCCGGAGTCGGGAAAGAATTACAGAGTCGGATAATGGTCAATCAACACGAGGACGGTCCTAGCTAGTGACTGTTAGAGAAGCACCAGAGGCTCTACACAATGAGATTCATTAACCAAGTTTCCCAAACCAAACTTCCTTAACACTTAGTAAGCCAGCCAGAGGTTTGGGGCCCGCGGAGGAGATAAGATAAAAGTCATTATCAGAAGAGAGCGTTAAGACATTACCATTATATAGCACTTGGAAGATACATGAGGACAAGAACATCGGCAAGGACACAGGAATGATGCACTTGGACGGTCGGGAACACTCCTGTAAGAATAAACAAGAATTCTCGTCTCACTGCTCTTAAGATTTTAATGGTTTAAGACTTAACTGAGAATGGTAGTTAATGCCATGTGGTTGTTAAGCCTTGGTAGTGGTGTGGAGGCGTCTATAGTCTATACTGCTTCCGCCACCTAGCAGGATTTTTAGGCACTAATTGTTTTGTTTATATTATTGAGGGAGAGGGAGAGACTATCACTATTGTTTGGAGGGTGGGAGAAACTACCGCTGCCTCCCATTTTGCCTCTGGGACTGCCTCTCTTCCTCCTCCTGTCTACCGTTCGTCCTCTCACCCTCCCTCCCACCCTCCCTCTCACCCTCCCTCTCACCCTCCCTCCCACCCTCCCTCTCACCCTCCCTCTCACCCTCCCTCTCACTCTCCCACCCTCCCTCTCACTCTCCCACCCTCCCTCTCACCCTCCCTCTCACTCTCCCACCCTCCCTCTCACTCTCCCACCCTCCCTCTCACTCTCCCACACCCTCCCTCTCACTCTCCCACTCCCTCTCCCACCCTCCCCCCTCTCACTCTCCCACCCTCCCTCTCACCCTCCCTCTCACTCTCCCACCCTCCCTCTCACTCTCCCACCCTCCCTCTCACTCTCCCACCCTCCCTCTCACTCTCCCACTCCCTCTCCCACCCTCCCTCTCACTCTCCCACCCTCCCTCTCACTCTCCCACCCTCCCTCTCACTCTCCCACTCCCTCTCCCACCCTCCCTCTCACTCTCCCACCCTCCCCTCTCACTCTCCCACCCTCCCTCTCACTCTCCCACTCCCTCTCCCACCCTCCCTCTCACTCTCCCACCCTCCCTCTCACCCTCCCATGCAGCTGTGACCTACGGGTGGGGGCAACAAGGCTGGTGTACATGACCCCGTGACCTTCACTACACTCTTCCTCTCACGGTAATTAACTCGCTAGAGTTTTATTTGCGTCTTGCCATTCATATATTCTGGTCTGAAAACCTGCGTGTAATTAACTCTTTGCATGAGACTTTTTTTGTTGTGGAAGTTAGGACATTTGCGATGCTTTTCCTGCTCTTCCCAGAAGTCGTGGTTGTCATGGGCATGTCAGCTGGCACTGTGGTTGTCATGTTCATGTCACCTGGCACTGGGGTTGTCATGTTCATGTCAACTGGCACTGGGGTTGTCATGTTCATGTCACCTGGCACTGGGGTTGTCATGTTCATGTCAACTGGCACTGGGGTTGTCATGGGCATGTCAGCTGGCACTGTGGTTGTCATGTTCATGTCACCTGGCACTGGGGTTGTCATGTTCATGTCAACTGGCACTGGGGTTGTCATGGGCATGTCACCTGGCACTGGGGTTGTCATGGGCATGTCACCTGGCACTGGGGTTGTCATGCTCATGTCAGCTGGCACTGGGGTTGTCATGCTCATGTCACCTGGCACTGGGGTTGTCATGTTCATGTCAGCTGGCACTGGGGTTGTCATGCTCATGTCAGCTGGCACTGGGGTTGTCACGTTCATGTCAGCTGGCACTGGGGTTGTCATGTTCATGTCAGCTGGCACTGGGGTTGTCATGTTCATGTCAGCTGGCACTGGGGTTGTCATGTTCATGTCAGCTGGCACTGGGGTTGTCATGTTCATGTCAGCTGGCACTGGGGTTGTCACGTTCATGTCAGCTGGCACTGGGGTTGTCATGTTCATGTCAGCTGGCACTGGGGTTGTCATGTTCATGTCAGCTGGCACTGGGGTTGTCATGTTCATGTCAGCTGGCACTGGGGTTGTCATGTTCATGTCAGCTGGCACTGGGGTTGTCATGTTCATGTCAGCTGGCACTGGGGTTGTCATGTTCATGTCAGCTGGCACTGGGGTTGTCATGTTCATGTCAGCTGGCACTGGGGTTGTCATGTTCATGTCAGCTGGCACTGGGGTTGTCATGTTCATGTCAGCTGGCACTGGGGTTGTCATGTTCATGTCAGCTGGCACTGGGGTTGTCATGTTCATGTCAGCTGGCACTGGGGTTGTCATGGTCAGGATGATGGCGTCTACCAAAGAGTGAACTAGGTGTTGAGGGGTTTTACATGTAGTGCTTTGCCTATGTCTAATCTTCCATTGCCATGGTATCTGTCAGGATATCTACACAGCCAGACCAAAGATATCCAACCTATCAACACCGAAGTAATCGACAGACACAGCAACACAAGTCCTAAACGAATCATTAGACACTTATCAAACACACTTATCCACCTGTCGACAGCTAACTATAGGCCCATCCTACCATACCTCAAGACTAAGAGAATGTGCAGCTCACATCTCTCCTACTGCTGGAGTCAACATCGACAGGGAACCACGTCTTTTCACCTCCTCTTACTAAGCTATGTGATCTGGAACTTAAGATGATTTGTATCTACTTACCCACTGTCTCTGAAGATGGCGAGAGCTTCAGGGAAACGCATCTTTCAGAGTCAGGCCATATTTTTTTTGTTAAAAGAACACTGCACAGTTTATTTTTCAACTGCCTTCCCAAGTGAAGAACTTAAGGAATGTAGAGAAGATTCATTCTACTGTAGAATTGTTGATCTCATCCCTTTCATCATATTCAAAAAAGATGTCTACAAGAAAGACAGCTTCCAACGTATACATATGTATTCGAAATATATGTAAATATTTAGGGACGGGGGTGGAGGGAACGTGGGAGTAAGAGGAACATGAAATATGGGTGTGGGAGGAGCCTCACATGGAGAGAACTTATGAGGCAACGTTGAGAGTAAGTCCAAGTTACTGGGAGGCAGCAGATGGTGGAAGAGAGAGAGATTAGAGGAACCGAGAGACAGCAGCTGGTGAGAGACAGATAAAAACATACAGAGAGAGAGAGAGAGAGAGAGAGAGAGAGAGAGAGAGAGAGAGAGAGAGAGAGAGAGAGAGAGAGAGAGAGAGAGAGAGAGAGAGAGAGAGAGAGAGACACACTCGTTACCAGATATGAAAAGGAAACTGGTTCAAATCATGTAAATTCCTGCTCTCTATAACACACGTTTGTCTCAGGGAAGCCAGTAATGAGTTTGTTAAGACTTTAGGATGACTTTATAAACGCGATTGTATAGGAGTCCAAAGACGGGTGTTAGGAGGAAGTAAAGATGAATCAAATTTCCCTCATTTAAGACCAAATGACGAATGAACAGATTCAGATTTGCATAATTATTTGATGAATGGAAAAAAGGAGCTTCATTCTCCCAACTTTCTCTTTCTCTAGAGATTAGAACTTTGAGACTGGAAATTTTCAGGATAAAACAAATTTTGTAGTCACTCAGATTTGAGTTAAAGCCTGGCAGAATGCGATACGAATATCAATAAAACATGTGATCTTTGCTTGTGGTAGCGAGCAGTGTGCAACTGGCAGGACACGAGACAACTTAAAAAATGAATGTAAAGATGATGGAGCGGAGCAGGGAATGGAAGAGTTCCTGGAAATGGGAAATATAGAATGAATTATAATTGTAGGCGGGCCGTGTCGACACGATATGTGTGTGTGTGTGTGTGTGTGTGTGTGTGTGTGTGTGTGGTGTGTGTGTGTGTGTGTGTGTGTGTGTGTGTGTGTGTGTGTGTGTGTGTATTCACCTAGTATTCCCCTAGTTGTGTTTGCGGGGGTTGAGCTTTGCGCTTTCGGCCCGCCTCTCAACTGTCAATCAACTGTTTACTAACTACTTTTTTTTCTCACACCACACACACAAAATTCAATACACAGTACAATTGTGTGTGTGTGTGTGTGTGTGTGTGTGTGTGTGTGTGTGTGTGTGTGTGTGTGTGTGTGTGTGTGTGTGTGTGTGTGTGTGTGTGTGTGTGTATGATTGCTAAGATAAGCTTGCTCTCTCTTGTCAGAGCTGTTAGTATGTGAAAGATTTGTCTCGTGTATTTCATCATAAGTGGATGTGCAAAGCTGAGCAACTGTTCTGTTTTCCTTAGCCACTTAATGTCGTCCCCCTGTATCTCCTTTCCCCTGTAGCCACTTAAGATTTCGTCTCCGTGGACAAGTGTTCTATCACCAGCAGCCACTTAAGCTGTACCCCTGAACACACTGTTCCTTCCCGTGTGATAAGGGTCCCCTCACCCCACGGTTTCTGTCGAGCAATGTTGAAGGCGGTGCCCCCTGGAGATCTGAGGTTTCCGCCCTGTATGTTCTAGGGCGACGCCCCTGGGATAGTGGTTCTGTGTCTAATCCAGGGGCAACCCCAACCCTAACATATCCTGCAAGGGCGAACTGCTTTCTCCTGCTTCCTCTGTCCTTCCCCTGCCACCTCCCTTGTGCAGGCGAGGAGTCACAATAACGTGGCTGAAGAATGTTGACCAGACCGCACACTAGAAGGTGAAGGGACGTCGACGTTTCGGTCCGTCCTGGACCATTCTCAAGTCGACCTACCACAATCGACTTGAGAATGGTCCAGGACGGACCGAAACGTCGTCGTCCCTTCACCTTCTAGTGTGTGGTCTGGCCACCTCCCTTCCTTCCTTTATATCTATCTTTCTCTTCTTCCATCTCCATTAATGTCTAACGCCTATATTTTGGGATTTTGTTTCTCTTACTGCAATTTCTGCTTCACTCTAGAGACAAACATAGGAGTGCATAGAGAAAAAACCGGAACAAGAGTTCGTAGAGCTCTTCCAGCAGGACGGGGCGACGCCGGCAGAGTCTGATAACACCGCTGAAGAGTCCCCTGCGTCCTGGAAAAATTCCGGCGCCCTGGAATATACCGGTATTCTGGAGACAAAATAAATTGGTGTCCTGGAAGACGCCGGTGCCGTGAAGGGGGAAGGCGTGTTGCGTGGCGGAAAACGAGCCAGAAAGTGATACAGAAGAAAAAAATCTGCGAAGATTTACGCGGCACAGAATAAAACAGAGACGGCGACGGCGTCAGCTGTGAGGAGGAAAGGGATAAGATAATGACAAAAGTGAGCGAGATGGACGGGAACTGGAACAGAGCAAGACTGGAAGAGGACGACACGCTGGAAGAGACAAATGCAAGGCGGTAACACTTGGAAGTCTTTGTAGTACCTGTAACAGTCAGATCAAAAACAAAATCCAGGTAGAGAAATAAAAGTTCTGCAGGATACTGGCTACAGGGTACAGTACCTGGAAGATACAGGTTGAAAGATATAGGACCTAGAAGATATAGGCTGGAAGGTACAGGACCTGGAAGATATAGGACTTTGAATATATAGGCTGGGAGGTGTAGGACCTGAAAGATATAGGACCTATAAAGTATAGGACCTGGAAGGTATAAGACCTGGAAGATATAGGATTCGGAATATAAAGGCTGGAAAGTCTAAAGCCTGGAAGATACAGGCTGAAAGTCAAAGACTGGAAGATATACGACCCGAAATATATTACCTGGATAATATAAGACGTGGAAGAGACAGGTAGGAGAAGATAGTCTGTTCGAACCATCATCTGGAGAAGCATGGAATGACAGCTCTAAGAACAGAATTATAACAGATTAAAAGAGAGAAAAGCGGAATGAACCGCTTCTGGCAGAGAAAACTGAAAGGAGCAAAACCTGGAAGAGACAACTGGAAAGGGCAGCAAGACTTGAGGAGACAGTTGGAAACACAACAGAACTTTGAAGAGGCAGCTGAAGGTGGCAAGAGGATCTGAACTAGCTGGATAAGTGTTACCTGGAAGATAAGTGTTACCTGGAAGATAAGTGTTACCTGGAAGATAAGTGTTACCTGGAAGAAACAACTGGAATGGAAGGTGTGTGGATGGAGAAATATAAGCAGTAGCACCTGGGAAAGAGAATGAAGAATGTAAACATTCAACACGTCCAAAATTAAACAACGACAAATAGGGTTTAGGGACGTACTGCGGTAGGCACGTCCTGGACGTACCTGGAACAGGACGTGTTCCAGTTCCAATGTGTTCCAGGACGTACCTGGAACACATTAGGGTACTGGAGTGGAAGTACCATTAACCACGGGACAAATATGCAGCCGAGTCAAGAGGGATAATGACGACACCTCAGCCAGCATCCTGGGATGATTGTGGGTTAAGGTTCGCATCCCGGAGGATTCCTCAAGTGAACTCTTCAAGGCTCTTGTGTATTAGAGCTTGTCTTGTCAACCGGTTGTCCAGGAAACATCTTAAGTGGCTAGGAGGATATGGAACAATTGTCCAGGGAACATCTTAAGTAGCTACGGCTTGAGTGATTGGTCCTGCTTGAGTGATTGCTCCAGGTTGAGTGAGTGATCCAGCTTGAATGACTGGTCCTGCATGCAATTGGGCTCTGTACATAGCTTTGTGTGTATTGTATCTGGATAATAGTCTGTTTAAATTTTGCAACAACAGCGACCAGCACGAAGATAACAAATCATTATGCAGACACAGACATACACAAGGACAGACAGACACAAGCACAAACATACACAGACACATACAGACACAGAGAGACATATACCGATAAAAAAAAGTCGTGGGATTAGTAACAGAAGTCACCACACATATTTATTTTATTTATTTTATTCTGGAATCTACTAAGGAAGCCGAGTGCAAAGAGGAATACGTAACAAACAAAAAAATTGATAAATTGAGCTTTCGTGGAAACGTTGGAGGAAGAGGATTTCAGTTGGAACATTTTGTGTTCACACAAACATTTTTGGAATAAAACAGTCGACTTTTGTTGAGCTTTTGTTATTTTAGTGCGTTCCACCCTGGCGGGGATTACCTGAAGCGTTGTTGACACTGCCGTGTGATGTTTGGGACCGTTGTCAATGTTTCTATTCATTACAATGCCTTGTTTTTTGACGATTTTATGGGATGATTAAGCCGCGGCAAATGTTCATCCAGCGTGGGTTGAAAACAGTGATGTTAAGTGATGTTATGGGTGTTGTTAATGCTTGTGTTATATGCAGTCTTTGTGAACATTGCTTGTTACTTGTAATGTTCTTCAACATTTGTTGTATGTGTAGTGTATTTTTATTCAAGAATGTGAGTAAATATATTCTTATATATGAGAACTTATATGTGAGAACCAGATAGG